GCCTCCTCGCCCGAACTCACAACGACTGCGTCATAACCCATACGCTTGAGTATCTTGCGACCGACCTTTTGATTTATCGAATTGTCGTCAACGAGCAAAATCTGCAGATCATTCTCGTTTGGCTGCGTATTCCCCGACACGTCCTGTGAATTTTTCCCTGACAAATCAGCGTCAGGCGCAATTGTTCTGACGAGAGCGCCCAACAGTTGACCCGACTTTGCCGGTTTCGTCAGTGACGCGGAATAATCCATCTTTGCCACCGCGTCGCGAAACCGCTCTTCCAGCGGCGAAATCGAACTGAACAGGATCATCGGCGGCGCGTCTGTGCCCAGTTGTTCTCGAACGGCAGACGTAAACTCAAAGCCATTCATCCCGGGCATCTTGTAGTCGACGATTATCAAGTCGAATACCTCACCGCCCTTCAGCAGATCCAGTGCTTCCTCAGGTTCGCCGCTTGCCCGCGGTTGTAGTTCCCAGCTTCGGAACTTTTCGCTCAGAATGAGCCGGTTGGTCCGGTTGTCGTCGACAATAAGAATGCGTGCGCCCGAGATGAGTGCCAACTGAGCGTCGCGAGTGGCGCGTTGCGGCAGCTGCGCTACTTCACCCGGCAGCGTGAACGAGAACGTCGTTCCAACCCCGATCTGGCTATTAACCGAGATTTCTCCGCCCATGAGTTCCACCAGCCGTTTGGTGATGACCAGTCCCAACCCTGTACCGCCATACCGCCGCGTTGTTGACGCATCCACCTGACTGAACGACTTGAACAGCCGATCCATTCGGTCCTCGGGAATTCCAATGCCGGTGTCACGAACGGAAAAAGTCAGGAGCGAGGTCTCACCCGGGCGGGCAGATGCATCCGGCATCATTGTCGAAACCGTCAAAACAACTTCCCCGGTCTCCGTGAATTTTACGGCGTTGTTCAGCAGGTTCATCAATATCTGCTTCAAACGCACCGGATCGCCGACAAGGGCGGCCGGTACGTCGGGATTGATCCTGCAGGCAAGTTCGATTCCCTTTTCAGCTGCTTTTGAGGCGACAAGTTCCACCGAAGATTCGATTGTATCGACAAGGTCCATGGGTGTGCGCTCAAGTTCCAGCGCACCAGCCTCGACCTTGGAAAAATCCAGAATGTCGCTGATGATCGTAAGAAGTGTGTCTGCGGCAGTCGCGATTGTGTCGCTGAAATCTCGTTGCTCTTCGTTCAGCTCTGTTCCGTTCAAGAGCGTGCTCATCCCGATTATTCCATTCAGAGGAGTCCGGATTTCGTGGCTCATCGTGGCCAGGAATGCACTCTTTGCTTCGTTGGCGGCTTCCGCAGTGTCCTTGGCCCGTTTTAGCTCATCCGATATGCGCTTGATCTCGGTGATGTCTGAATGGACGGCTACAGTTCCGCCCTGATCCGTGCGCCGATTGCTGACCTGCTGCCATTGATTTCCGGCAAGTTCCTGAATGTAAGGGGTTCCGGTTGCCATGTGACGACCGATCTGGCGCTCAATCCAGACCGACTGATCTTCATTCGCATTGGGAAAGCGACCGGTCTCAGCAGCCCTTTTCAGCAGAACCGCGTACTCGGTGCCGTCCGCGAGTTCCGCATCCGCGTCGTCCAGCATGATTTCGCGGTACCTGCGATTTGCAACGATCAGGCAATTTTCCTTGTCATACAGCGCAAATCCTTCGGAGATACTTTCAATGGCGTCCGTCAACTGGCTGCGGGCCTCACGTGCCGTTGCTTCCGCGCCGACGAGTTCAGCTGTTCGTTCCTGTACTCGAAGTTCGAGTTCATCATTTGCGGAACGCAGTTGCTGTTCATAAGCCGTCTGGCTGTCCTGCATTTCGTTGAATGCCGCAACCACACGGCCAATCTCGTCGTTGCTCGACCACTCTACCCGCCGACTTGTTGCACCGGAGCGCTTCTGGTTGATAGACTCCATCATGAGATTCAAAGGCCGTCCGATGATTCGGCGGTTTGCTGTCAGCGTGGCGCCAATTACCGCAGCAAGAAATATGCTGGCAAGAATGATCACAAGCGTTAGACGCTCGCGTGCAAGCGCACCCAGACGAGTTTCGGTAAGTGCAATACGTAGCGATCCAATTCGTATTGCGTTGTCACCTTCATCGTACAGGATGTCACCCCGCGACGAAAAACGTGTGGTGTCGAACTGATCAGTCTTGCCAGCCTCGGCGACCAGACGGTCACGCTCGTCGTACACCGCCGCGGCCAGTACATCCGGGTCAGTCAAAAGAGCGGACAGGATCAACTTGATCTGATTGTCAGCAACATTCCAGAGAGATTCGGCAACGACCGCACTTTGTATCTCTACGAGTTTTTCAAGTTTCGCTTGAAGTTGAGCCTCAGCCGATCGTCGTGCATTCCATTCAAACAGTCCGAAAACGACCATTGTCGAAACCAGGACCAGAGGAACGACATAAAGTAGAAACTTGGTTTGTACCGAACGAGCGAGGCCGGTGCGTGTTCTCTGGTCAGTCTTTTGACTCTGGCCAAACGCGTTGGCCATTAGAATTCGTCTTTGAAATAGCTATCGATAATTGCTTCTACATCCACCTGAGCCAGGCCGCTGTTGAACTTGTCCCGCAAGGTCCGTCCGGCTTCATCGTCGTTGAAACAAAGGTAGAGAGTCTTGTCTTCCAGCGGTTTTTCATTGAAAGCGAGTGTTTCCGACAATCCTTCCAGAGACGGTTCTGTTGCAAGAAGGTAGGACAGAACCAATTTGTCTATCACAGCCATGTCGATACGTTCTCTTGCGAGTTTACGCAAATTGGTCACATCATCAGGTGCCGGAATTGCCCTGATCCATCCTGTCCCTGCCTTTTCGTCAAATTCATCCGTGTTGGCGTAGCCCAACACCGTTCCGACCTTGAGCTTTTGCTTGCCGATGTCGTCAACACTTTGCCAGTCTACAGGGGCGTTGACGTTTTGAGCGAAACCCAGAGGCCCGTTCCCGATAGGATCTGAAGCAACAAAACCGTTCACGTGGCGACAGTGATAACCGGGATAATAGGCAGCGACTGTCTCATCATCCTTTGCCATCGAGATTGCGCGTTTCCAAGGCAGTATCGCCACCTCGACATCAACGCCGGCAGCTTCGAACGCCTGCTTGACTACGGCTGTGGTTGCCCCTCCCTTGGGCAAGTTTTCAGATGTGTAGGGTGGCCATTCCAGCGTTGAAACCGAGAGTGTTTCAGCAATTGACACCTGAATAGCCGACAGGCCCAATAAACCGGCGCAAAATGCCGCCAACAATTGCCTCATGAGACCTCCCCAAAGTCATTTAATATTAAGTTTAATCTGCCGAAACGGAAATTGGCAAGCTACTTCAAATTTGAAACTACTTTCTCATCAGTTCGCAACCAAAACAAGCCGCACAACTAAATCTATTTTCGTTATTTGACCGGCGCGATTGTTGCCTGCGACCTTGAGCGTATCCATTGAATGTTCGCTCATTTTCAGCTGGAAAGCGGTTTACACGGCATAGTGTGTCACCAGGGATGAAGCGGCGCATCGCGCAAGAGGTGCAACGCTGCCAATGCGCTGCGTTCCGGCGCGCGCAGCATCGGGTTCCTTGTCCCGCTGACTGTATTGGTTTGCGTCTGCTAAAAAGCAAGTGTCCTGGGTCGACCCGATCCCGGGACACATTTCAAGCTAGACGAAGTCAGCCTTGCTGCTGGCCGACGGTGATGATGGTCGGTTTGTGTTCCGCGAGCAGCCTTTTTGCAACGCGCTGAACGTCCTCAAGTGTCACGGCCTGGATCTCGCTGTTGCGGCGGTCGAAATAGTCGATGCCGAGCTCGGCGTTTTGAAGGGCAACGAGCTGACGGGCGATCTTGCCCGAACTGTCGAAGCGCAGTGGGTAAGAACCGGTGATAAATCGCTTGGCCGCCTCCAGCTCGTCCTGGCTCGGGCCTTGCGTTGCCATGCGGCTCAGCTGGTTCAGCATCACCTCTACAGTCTCGCCGGCCCGGTCCGATTTGGTTGCCGCGGATCCAATGAGAAGGCCTGTGTGGCGGTAAGGCGACAAGGACGTGCTCGCCCCATAGGAAAGTCCGCGTTTTTCGCGCACTTCCTGATACATCCATGATGTAAAGGTCCCACCTCCGAGTATGTGATTCATCACGTAAGCCGCCTGATAGTCAGGGTCGTCGCGTGTGATGCCGGGATAAGCCAGAAGTATCGTTGTTTGCGGCACTGTAAGTTCACGGTGAACTGTCCCGCCGGTCCGGGGCGCGAGGTCGGCGACAGCCGCCAGGTCACTTCGCTCGGGAAGGTCGGCGAAAATCTTGTCCAGAAGCGGGGCCAGGGTCTTGGCATCGATCGAGCCGACGACGCCGATCTTCAGTCCGTCCCGCGTCAGGATCTTGCCGTGCTGTGCCTGAAGATCTGCTGCGGAAAGGCTGGTCAACGACTCCATCGTCCCAAGCGTCGGGCGGGCATAAGGGTGCGCCCCGAACATGGCATCGGCGAGTGACCGGCCTGCAATCGCGTTCGGATCGCTCTGGTTCCGTCTGATCTGCGTACTCAATTGCGTCTTCATGCGCTCGACGGGCGTTTCATCGAAACGGGGTTCATTGACTGCGAGCTTCAGAAGATCCGTTGCCTGCGTCAGTCTTGGGCTGAGAGTTCTCAAGCTTCCGTAAAACCGGTCCTTGCCGGTGCTGAACCCGATACTCACAGCGAGTTCTTCCAGCTTGCCCTGAAAATCTTCGGAAGCGAGGTCACCTGCACCTTCATCCAGTGACGCCGCCAGCAGCCGTGTCAGGCCTTCTTTTCCCGCTGGATCCTGCGTTGAGCCACCGTCAAAGGAAAAATTCATCGCGATGATGGGAACCGTATGATCCTCAACGAGCCAGGCTTCGATACCCTCCGGACTGACAACTTTCTGTATCTCGACAGCAAAGGCAAGACGGGAAAGCGCCATAAGGGCGACGAAGGAAAGAACGGCGAGGGATGAAAGCGTGCGAAAGAATGTCTTCTGGGTCATGGATCAGGACTTGTCGTTGACTTCTGTTGCATTGGTCAGGGCGGCTGCGGGTTCTGTCCCGCTTTCGATCCGCAATTCCCCGTAAACCGGGATTTTTGTCAGGTAGGACCGCGCGGCCTCCAGAACATCCGCAGGCGTAACGGCACTTATCTGTGCCGGCCAGCTTTGGACATCTTCCACCGTCTGGCCGGTGGCCAGTGCACCACCGAACAGCCTGGCGAGTCCTGACTGGCTGTCCTGGGCGTAGATCGCGCTTGCAAGCATGCTGTTTTTGGCACGCGCCACTTCTTCTTCGGAGACGCCTGTTTCGATGACCTTCTGCAGCTCCGCTGCTATCAGGCGCTCCATTTCTTCAAGGGTCTTACCCGGGCGAGGGGCGGCATAAACTCCGAACCTGCCGTCATTCAGCGCTCGGCTCTGGTAATAGGCTCCTGCTCCGATGGCAGCTTCCTGGCCGAGAACGAGGGCCTTGTGCAACCGGCTCGAAGGGCCTTCTCCCAGAATATACGACAGGACATCGAGCGCCTCCGGCGTCCGTCCCTGTCCCGTCGACTGGCTGGGAACGACCCAGGTCTGCGAAATGGTTTCCTGGCGGACCCTTGGATCAGAAACCGCAATCCGGCGTTCTCCGGAGAGTGGTGGTTCCAAAGGTCTCACACGTTCGCCGGGTTCCGCACGCCTTGCGACCTTGCCATAGGTTTCGATTGCAAGTTCCCGGATCTTTTCAACGTCGACGTCACCGGCGATCACGACCACCGCGTTGTTCGGTGTGTAGAACCGGTCATAAAAATCTATCGCGGCATCCTTGTTCAGGGCTTCGATTTCGCTCTCCCAGCCGATCACGGGTGACCCATACGGATGGTTGACGAATGTGATGGCGTTCATGGCTTCGCGCAGGCGCGAACCGGGCTCGCTGTCCACACGGCTTCTGCGTTCTTCAAGCACGACATCACGTTCCGGCGCGACGATCTCTTCGGTCAGCACCAGGTTCTCCATGCGGTCCGCCTCAAGCTTCATCATCAGCGGCAGGTGTTCTTTTGCGACCTTCTGGAAATAGGCCGTGTAGTCCAGGCTCGTGAAGGCGTTTTCCTGACCACCTCGCTCCGCGATCATTTTCGAAAAAGCGCCGTCAGGGTATGCTTTTGTCCCCTTGAACATCAGGTGTTCAAGAAAGTGTGCCACGCCTGACTGCCCCTCTGGTTCATCTGCCGATCCGACCTTGTACCAGATCATGTGCGTGGCGACCGGGGCCCGGCGGTCAGGTATCACGATGACCTGGAGGCCGTTCTCCAGCGTGAAACTCTCCAGATTGGGTGCTATGACGATATCGCTCGTCAGGAGCGAGTCTGCAGCAACCTGCGATGGGGTGAGAAGCGCTGTAGTACCCAGCAAGAGTACGGGTAGAGCCAAAAGACGGGCGGACCGTCGCAGTCGTTTTGCAATTGATGGACGAAATGCATTTTGGCGAGGGTTCACGTGTAACTCCCTTTGTGGCCTGAAAACGAAAAAACCTCCGGACTGATCCTTCCATATAGGAAGGTTGGTCCAGAGGTCCCATTACATTTTTGTCATTCGCGGTTTAACCGCGGATCGGTCAGTTACAAAATTCCTGTTGACCTTCCAGACACCGCGGATCGACTGGCGTACTAGTATATGGATCGTAATTGGTCGGTTTCTTGTTGTTCGACTTCTTTACAATGTCCGGCATCGGCGCGTCCGGGGACGGCGTGCTGTAGCTGCTTGGCGGTTCGGTCAGGAAGCGGCGTGTCGCAATACCATTATCTTCCAGACCGGCCTGCTGTGCCTTGAGTTGCTGAAGCTTTTCCCACTCTTCGCGCTGCTGCGCGCGTGTTTGAACTTCGCCTTCGGCAATATCGTTGTCGCGGCGCTCGGCTTCCAGGTCTCGTGTCGTCTGGCCGGTCACACCCGTGATCTTGAAGCCGCGCATTTGCTCAGGTGTCAAGGGTTGCTTGTTGAGCCCGCCGGTATCTGCGTAGAGCTCCTTCAGTTCCCGGTATTGAGCATTTTCCTGTTGCTGCGGCCAGTTCTGGGCATCGGTTCCGGCAACTTCGGTTTCCGGTTCCGGAAGCTTTCCCGGTTCGGCAGGCATGGCAAGCGGAGCGCGGGGTTTGTAATCGATGGGCTTTGCGTTCGGATCGACAGCGCCGAGCCCGCTCATGAGGGAATTCACCAGTGCCACATCCGGCGCCTGCGATGTTCCGTCGGCCGCCTGGCAAGCCGCCAGCCCAGTCAATAGGACAAGCACGGCGGATTTTCTGACCCAGCTAATTTTCGTCCGCACCACAGCAGACTCCCCGGTTACCTGTTGAAAAAGCAGGCATACACGCGCCCGCAATCCATCTGTTCAGCGTTAAACCTTCATTTTGCGGCTGAATTAGGACCAATTCTGAAACTGTCATACAGGAGAGCGGCGACGCCTGCAACGATCCACACATCTGCGAGGTTGAAGACGTACCAGGAGAATGTGCCAACGTGAAAATGCACAAAATCAACTACGGCACCGTATGCGATTCGATCTATTCCATTGCCGATCGCACCGCCTATGACCAGCGCGAGTGCGAAGGCGACCAGTTTTGTCTGGCAGCGCGCCGACCAGATCCAAAGACCGATGGTTATGGCAACCGTCAGTCCGGCCAGCAGCCAGCGACCTGTATCGCCGTCCTGTTGAAACAGGCCATAGGAGACACCCCGGTTCCAGACCAGCACGAATTCCAGCACCGGGAATAGCTCTACAGGGCCATTCGTTCCAAGCTCGAAGCCATAAAGCAGCCAGAGTTTGCTCACCTGGTCCAGGACGAGGCCGGCAAGCGCAACAACGAACACAATCCCGCTGAAGCGACCCCACAAGAGGGGTTGCCCGGCGGTATCTGGTTCAATTTGTGTCGGTTCGCTCATGCGGTTCCAGAAACTGTCCCTTGCCTTGCCGCGTTATGCGGGCACGTGAGAAGCGTCCCATTCACGAAGCGCTGCGGCGTCGCGCAATGTGACATCCGGATAGTCCCGATCAGTCCCGACTTCAGGCAGGATCTTCCAGGATCTAGCGCATTTCTGGCCTTCTGCCAGAGCCGGCACAACCGCTACGCCCTTTGTGTCTTCAAGTGTGAAGGCACCGTTCGGCGCAGCGCCGGAAGACAACGTCAACTGGCTGGTGATGGCAATATCAGCCATGTTCTGCCCCTCAAGCGCGGCCATCAGATCCGGATCGGTCACATGTACGACCGGGTGTGCCTCCAGTGACGAACCGATCCGCTTTTCCCTGCGTTCAATTTCAAGAGCACCGGTGATCACGCGGCGAACCGTTCTGATCTTCGCCCATTTGGCAGCCAGATCTTCATCTCGCCATTCTGCGGGAACGACCGGGAATTGCTCAAGATGAACCGAGGTCTCTTCCCCGTAACGGGTAACCCAGGTTTCGTCCATTGTGAACGGCAGCATCGGCGCCATCCAGGTGACCAGGCAGTTGAACAGCTTGTCGATGACGAAGAGCGACGCCTTGCGGCGAGCAGAAGATTCGGCATCGCAATAAAGCGTGTCCTTGCGGATATCGAAATAGAAGGCGGACAATTCGACGGTCATGAAGGTGAAGAGCTGGTGGGTCACCTTCTTGTAGTCGAACTCCCAATAGGCTTCACGAACCAGGGCGTCCAACTCGGCAAGACGATGCAGCATCAGCCTTTCGAGTTCAGGCATGTCGGCGATCGAGACCTCTTCGCCGGTTGCATGAGCAAGGGATCCGAGCATCCAGCGCAGCGTGTTGCGCAGCTTGCGATAGCTGTCGACGTTTGTCTTGATGATTTCCTGGCCGAGACGCTGGTCTTCCCAATAGTCTGTCGACGCCACCCAAAGACGCAGGATGTCGGCCCCGTACTGCTTGATGATATCCTGAGGGAACACCTGGTTGTTGAGTGACTTGGACATCTTGCGGCCATCTTCGGCCATGGTGAAGCCGTGTGTCAGGACAGCGTCATAGGGCGCCGTACCGCGCGTGCCGCAACTCTCCAGCAGCGAGGAATGGAACCAGCCGCGATGCTGGTCCGACCCTTCAAGATAAAGAACATAGTCTTTTCCGCCGTCCTTCTTGCGGGTCGGGTTGAGATCGTCCCGTTTTTCCAGGACGAAGGCATGGGTGGAACCGGAATCGAACCACACATCGAGAATATCGGTGACCATGTCCCAGTCATCGGCCAGATAGTCATTCCCGAGGAAACGCTCCTTGGCACCTTCCGCGTACCATGCATCGGCACCTTCATCGCAAAAGGCTTCGTAAATGCGCGCGTTGACTGCCTCATCCTTCAGAACGTCAGACGTCTCCTTGTGGATGAACACGGTAATCGGAACACCCCATGCGCGTTGGCGGGACAGGACCCAGTCCGGACGGTTCTCGATCATCGAGCGTAACCGGTTCTGACCGCTTCCCGGCACGAAGCGGGTCTCGTCGATCGCGTTGAGAGCGCGCGTGCGCAACGTGTCTCCTTCACCGGACAAGGTCTTGTCCATGTAGACGAACCACTGCGGGGTGTTGCGGAAGATCACCGGTTTCTTCGAGCGCCAGGAATGCGGATAGGAGTGGTTCAGTCTGCCAAGGCCGATCAGATTTCCGCTTTCCTTCAGCTTTTCGATGACCACCTTGTTGGCTTTGCCCTTTTCACCCTTGTGGGTGATGACCTCGGCACCTTCAAAGCCCGGAGCATCCTTGGTGTAAAATCCGTCATCGGCAACCGTGAACGGGATGGCGGTATTGATACCGCGCGCATCCAGTTCGGCGCGTTTATCCATCCAGATTTCAAAATCGTCCGAGCCGTGGCCGGGGGCAGTGTGGACAAAGCCCGTACCTGCATCATCGGTTACGTGATCACCATCCAGCACGGGCACATCGAATTCGTAGCCGCCGAGGCCGAGGTCGGCGAGAGGGTGTGCACAGGTGATTGCCTCAAGTTCGTCTGCGGTTACGGCACGAACACGATTGAAGTCTGAAATGCGGGCGTTCTTGAAGACGTCTGCCGCCAGAGCATCGGCAAGGATCAGGAGATCGCCTTTCTGCACCCAGTTTTCGTCCGGCAGGCCATCCTGCGTGACTTCAAACAGACTGTAGGCAATACGCGAAGAAAAACAGATCGCCCGGTTTCCGGGAATGGTCCAGGGCGTGGTTGTCCAGATGACCAGGGACGCATCGAGCAATTGCTCCACGGCGGCCTGATCACTGCCACCGGCGGTCACGACTGGAAATTTCACCCAGATCATGTCGGACTTGTGATCCTGATACTCGATTTCTGCTTCCGCGAGTGCCGTCTTTTCGACAACCGACCACATGACCGGCTTGGAGCCGCGATAAAGCTGCCCGGACATGGCGAATTTCATCAGCTCCTGGGCGATGACCGCCTCGCTCTCAAAGCGCATGGTAAGATAGGGGTTGTCCCAGTCCCCCTCAATACCGAGGCGCTTGAATTCCTTGCGCTGTACATCGATCCAGTGTTCGGCGAATTCGCGGCATTCCTTGCGGAATTCGTTGATCGGAACCTCGTCCTTGTTTTTGCCCTTGGCGCGGTACTGTTCCTCGATTTTCCATTCGATCGGCAGGCCGTGGCAATCCCAGCCAGGAACATAATTGCTCTCGAAACCCATCATCTGCATCGAGCGGGTGACAATGTCCTTCAACGTCTTGTTGAGTGCATGCCCGATGTGGATGTTGCCGTTGGCATAGGGGGGGCCGTCATGCAGCACGAATTTGTCGCGGGTCGCACCCTGCGCGCGCAATTTGTTGTAGATATCAAGCTTTTCCCACCTTGCGAGGATTTCAGGTTCCTTCTTGGGAAGGCCCGCCCGCATCGGGAAATCGGTCTTCGGCAAGTTGAGCGTTTCGGAATAGTCGCGTTTATCTGTCTCGGTCATCGTCAAGTCGATCCGGTCGTTCGGGCAAACTGCCCGCCAATTTTACGGGGTGTTGCGTGCCTGTCTTCAGGCCGCGAGAACAGGAGTGTCCCGGTCCCTGGCGCCGCGTTGTTCGCGTCAGCCGAAGGCCGGGCAGGTAATTCGCGTAATCGCGATCATCTCAGAGCCGATGAATATGAGTGGCATGTCGTGCATGGGATGGGACATAGCAGCACTTGCAGGCCGAATAAAGAGGTCTGCAGTATTTCGTGGGTACTCGACTGCCGGAATGGCAGGCTTTCTTTAACGGCTGGCAGTTTATGAAGAGGAGGAGCTTGATCAAGAGGACGGCATGGCCGCGTATTTTGCAGATGGGTACTGGGCGACACGGGATCGCCTGATCCCGGCAGGTCTCATGGCCGTCACGGCCTATTGCGCGGTGCTGATCTATTTCTTTTCACCGGCCGGACCGGCCGTGACCGCCACTGGCGTGCCGATAAACGACTTCCTTTGTTTCTGGTTGGCGGGCTCGGAGGTTGTGCGGGGCACGCCCCAGGTTGCCTACGACAATGAAGCCTTTCTTGCGCTGCAAGCGCCTTATCTTGAACCCGGTGCCTTCTATCCGTTCTTCTACCCGCCGACCTTTTTACTCATTCTGGCTCCTCTTGGGACGATGGCTGCAATCCCGGCCTATGTGATGTCACAAGTGGTCAGCCTGGCATTCGCCGGCGCGGTCTGCGCACGCATCCTGCGCAATTGGACCGGGGTTCTGCTGATCGCAGCGATGCCTGCAACTTTCAATGCGGTATTTCACGGACAAAATGCACTTCTGTGCACTGCATTGCTGGGAGCCGGTCTTGTTGCCTTGTCGGAGCGCCGCGAAGTGTTGGCCGGGCTGTTCATCGGTCTGTTGACCATCAAGCCGCAAATGGGCGTTCTTCTGCCTTTCGCGTTCCTGGCGGCTGGTTACTACAGGGCATTCTCGTCGGCCGCTGTCACCGCGATCACCGTTGCCGCGCTGAGCTGGATTGTGCTGGGTTCCGGTACCTGGCAGGCTTTTCTGGAACAGGCCGCGTTCACCGGCCAGGCAACCGACCAGGGAATGGCAGGATTTTACAAGATGGCATCCGTCTACGCCTCTGTTCGCCTGATCGGCCTGGACGCGCTGCCCGCTTATGCGGTTCAGGGCGCGGCGTCCCTCGCGGCCCTGTGGGTGGTCTGGAAAGTCTGGGGATCCGACGAGGCTTTCGGTCTGAAGGCAGCGGTTCTGGTTTCGGCCGGGTTCTTTGCGACACCCTATGTGCTGCCCTATGACCTGGCGGCCCTGGCTGTCGCGATCGCGTTTTTGGTGCAGGCCACAAACGGCAAGCAGGCATTCCCGTACATGTGGACGCTGGTTGCCCTCGCGGTGCTGCTCTCTGCCTCCTCAAGATATATCGGGGCTGTCTCGGGAGTGCCGCTCGGTCTTGTTGCACCGGCAATCATCCTTTTTGTGTCAATGCGCCTTGTCAGTTTTTCTGGTCGTATCGGCAAGGAGGTGCAGTCATGAAAGCGCGAAACCGCGCCGCAATGATCTGGCAAAAGGGGATTCGCGAGGGGGCCTGGCTTACCTGGGACCGGATCGGCTTCGCGTGCCTTTGCTCCGCCATCGGCCTCAGTCTCGGCCTTATCTGGTTGCTGGTTGTTCCCAACGCTTTCGGCGCGCCCAACGGCACCGTGCTGATGGACTATTTCAGTTTCTGGCTTGCTGGACGGCAGGCGCTCGCCGGGATCCCTGAAATTGTCTATGTTCCCGCCGAGTTTTCGGCATTGCAGGTCGAAATCTCGGGGTCCGAAACGGTCTTCGGCTTCTTTTATCCGCCGACTTTCCAGCTTCTCCTGAGCGTTTTTGCTGCGCTTCCTTACAAGATGGCCTTTGCGGCTTTCGTGATTTCAACCACTGCGCTCTTGTGCCTTTCCTGCAGGCTGATCACCGGCAAGTGGCTGCTCGCCGCGTGCCTGATCCTCATCCCGGCCTGTGCAAACAATGCGTTTCACGGACAGAATGCGGCCCTGACCGCCGCTCTTTACGGATTCTTTCTCGTCGGTATCGAGCGACAGCGCATGATGCTGGCCGGGTTTGCTCTCGGTTTGCTGACGATAAAGCCGCAACTCGGAATTCTTGTCCCGGTCGCGCTTGTTGCCAGCTTGAACTGGCGAGCCTTCCTCGGCGCGTCGGTGACCACATTGGTGTTTGCGGGCCTAAGCGCTGCTGTGCTCGGCGCCGGTGTCTGGCTGATGTTCTGGCAACAGGCGCCGGTCGCAGCAGCAATGATGGAGCTTGGCGGTGTCGAATGGGGCAAGATGATTTCTGTCTATGGCAGCTTCCGTCAATTCGGGCTTGGCCATGAGATTTCGATGGCTGCGCAGATGTTGGTCGGCCTCGGCGCGCTCATCTGCGTCTGGAAGACCTGGCGCAGAACGGGCGACATGGCCGTCCGGTCCGCTTCATTGATTGGCGGAACCCTCCTGGTGACACCGTTCGCACTCACCTATGACCTGACGCTTCTCGTCATCCCGTGTGCGTTTTTGATCAGGGAAGGGCTCGATCGAGGGTTTTTCCCCTATGACAGGATTTTGCTTGCCGTGGTCATCGGACTGTCCGCATCTACGGCGCCATTTGCCATCCTGCTTGGCATTCCGATGGCACCGCTTTTGCCGGCAGCGATCCTGTTTCTTGGAATGCGGCGCATGCAGCTCATCGATCGTGCACGGCAACAGGAACGTGAACCGGATCACATCTCCGGAACGGCATCGGCCTGAGTTTTCTTTTTCAGCTTCCGTTCACGGTGCGCGATATAGAGCCCGCTGCCGATGATGAGTGCTATCCCTATCCATGTCGGACCATCGGGAAAGTCTGAAAAGACAAGATAGCCGAACAGCGTCGCGCTGACGATTTCGACATATTGCAGCGGTGCGAGCAGGCTGGCACTGCCGCGCTGGAAAGCGGCAACAACGAGTCCATGGGCGGCGAATGAAATCAACCCGATGAGCGCAAGCAAGGCCGTTTGCGAAAGTGTGGGGACTTCGAACTCGTAGCCTTCAAATTGTCCGTACGATCCGATCAGCAAAGCCGTACCCAGCAGTAGCGCACCTGATAGACCGGCGCCGAACTGGATCGTGAGCAAGTCGTCTTCCACCGGGTAAAGTTTGTTGATCAGAAGATAAAAGGAAAACAAGAATGCGGTCAAAACGGGCAGTAGACTGACAAGTCCGATTTCTGCCAGGCTTGGGCGCAGGATGACGATGGCGCCCAGAAGCCCGACAAGAATGGCGCCGATCCTGCGGATGCCGACCTGTTCTTTCAGGATCAGCGCGGCCAGCATGGTCAAGACCATCGGTTCTATGAAAAAGATCGAGATCGCCGTTGCGACCGACATGTATTTGACGGCGGTGAAAAAACTGAGCGATGCAATCGCGAGCAGGATGCCACGCAGAAAATTGATGACCGGCTGCCTGGCCCTGAGCCGCATTATCCGTCCGGTGACAAGTGCGATACAGAGGCAGATCACGAACTGGAAAAAAAATCGGCCGAAGGTAACTTCAAGTGCCGGTAGCGCCGACGACAGGTATTTTGCAATGATATCCATGATCGGAACGATCAGCATTGCTGTTGTCATCAGAAAAATTGCAAATAGCGCATTAGGTTCGACCGGTGCCCGGGCTGAGACTTTCGTCACGTGGCAAGATCCAGCAACTTCATGTCGATTTCCGAAAGGGGTTGGAGGGATTGCAATGCCGCTCTCGCTTCGGCGCTGTCACGATCCATCTGCGCAACGAGGGCCTCGGCCGAGTCGAACTTGTCCTCTCCCCGGAGATAGGAAACAAGGTGTATTCTCAGTGTCTGGCCGTATAGGTCACCGCTGAAATCGAACAGGAAGACTTCGAACACGACCGCGCCGTCGTCGAAAGTAGGCCGTCTGCCGTAGCTGGCGACACCGTCATGCCAGCCGTTTTCCGTCCGCACCTTGACCGCGTAAATGCCTTGGAGAAGCGGACTGTCACCGCTCAGATGCAGGTTCGCTGTCGGATAGCCGAGGTCACGCCCGCGCTTGTCGCCGTGTTCGACCGTTGCATCGAAATACCACCGGTACCCGAGCAGGGCATTGGCCTGCGCTACGTCTCCTTGTGCGAGGCAGTCGCGAATCCGGGTGGAGGAAATGACTTCGGCGCCTTCATCTTCTTCACGCTGAACGATCGTGACACCGAAGCCGTTTTCCGCGCCTGCCATGCGCAGATAGTCGGGTGTTCCTTGTCGCGCCCGGCCGAAGTGGAAATCATAGCCCGTGACCGCGTGCGAAATGCCGAGTGTGTCAATCAGGATGTCCTGAACAAAGGCGTTTGCTTCAATGCCGGCGAACTCCCGGGTAAACGGCAGGATAAGGGCTCCGTCCAGTCCGCACGCATTCAGCATCTCGACCTTCAACGGCGGAGGCGTCAGCCGGTAGACCGGTTTGGAAGGATTGAACACTGTTCTCGGATGCGGTTCGAAACTCATGGCGAAAACGGGATGGTGCGTGCCGTGGCCAAGCCCCAATGCCGCGCCCAGTACGGCTCTGTGCCCCCGATGCACGCCATCAAAATTTCCGATTGCGACGATGCCGCCTTTCAATTCTTCAGGAAACGCGTCCAGATTCTCGGCGTACAAGAAACTGGCGGATTGAGACGGGCTCATGCAGCAAACCTTCGCGCAGTGTGTCGGCCGGAACGGCTTCTCGGGAAACGGCAGTGGGAACGGGGGCACGTGATGTGTCCGCTCGCTGATGCTGGCGTGGAAACTGCCGTCTGCGCGTGAAAACGTCAAGGTCGGTAGACATCGTAAACCGGTCGGCCGATGCTTTGCGGTCAGATACGCGATCTGTCCTCGTCACGGCGAGGAACCTTCACCAGGGCTTCACCTTCCAGAACCACCTGATCCTCGACGCTGCAGATGCAGGAAAGCCGGGCGCGGTTTCCCCGTTCCATGAGTTCTTCGACCGTGACCGTTACCTTGACGTCGTCACCGATCCTGACCGGTGCCTTGAAATTGAGTGTCTGGGAAAGATAAATCGCACCTGGGCCGGGAAGACGGGTCCCGAGCACCGCCGAAATGAGACTTGCGGTGTAAAGGCCATGCGCAATCCGGGTTTTGAAAGGTGTGCGTGCTGCAAAGTGCTCCGACAGGTGAATGGGGTTCCGGTCCCCCGAGACTTCGGCGAAGCCTACGACATCAGAAGAACTGACGTGTTTCACGAGTTCTTCCCGCATTCCCGTTTCCAGATCTTCGAAACAGAGTGTTCGCAGTTCCAACATGCCAATTCCGCCCGGTTTTTTCTTGTTTCCAACCGGCGAGAACGCTAGGCCCGCAAGGGTTTTCTGGCAATTATGCTTTCGGCGAAGAAAAATACGCGCGTTATTAACGGTCTTTTCAGGGCCAGCAGGTAGATTATGCCGGGTGTGGGGAGGTGAGGACACAGTAATTGTGTTGCTCTCCTTCAGAGTCATATCGCGTTTCCACCGGCCCACGGCCAGGGGCCGCGCCAATTGACAGTATGGAGTAGACAATGGCCCTTGATCTTTAGATGCCGGTCCTCGTGGTCGATGACTACAAAACGATGATTCGCATCATTCGGAACCTGTTGAAGCAACTTGGTTTCGAAGACATCGACGATGCCGCGGACGGCACCGAAGCCCTGGAAAAAATGAAGCAGCGCCGTTACGGCCTGGTCATTTCGGACTGGAATATGGAGCCGATGACCGGCTACGAACTGCTCAAGCAGGTTCGTTCCGATTCTGGTCTCAGCAAAACCCCGTTCATTATGGTCACTGCGGAATCCAAGACGGAAAACGTCATTGCCGCAAAGAAAGCCGGTGTGAACAACTACATCGTGAAGCCGTTCAATGCTCAGACGCTCAAGGGCAAGATCGAAGCTGTTTTCTCCGAGTGACCTTTGTGCCGGGCGGAGCCCAGTAGTGGGTGTTCCGCCGGCGCAAACCGGGATCACAGGCGTGACACAGCTGTCGGACGGGCAGGTGTGCTCAGGTCTATCGGGATTCTGAAGCAGGAACGCGGCGCAAAGTTTGCCGCTGCGTTCAGGAATGGCTTTCATGCGGGGGGTGAACCTTATGGCCAATATAAAGCAGGAAAACGTTGCGCGCGTTATAGATTTCCTGGAACAGAACAAAAATCGTGATGGCGAAGTCTCACTCACGGACGTGATGCACCTTGCCGAGGTCATGTCCGGATCGATGCATGACTTTCTGTCGACCGTTCAGCCAACGGTGACTGAAGAGCTCAAGTTGATCGCCAAAGAAATTACGCGCATGAAGGAAGAAATTTGCCAACTGCGCGCAAATGACATGACCGGCAACAAGATACCTGATGCCGGACGCGAGCTTGATGCGATTGTCGAGGCGACCGAAGAGGCCACCAACACGATCATGGAAGCCGCCGAGGATATCATGGGGGCGGACACAAGCGACACGGAAGCCTACCAGGAACTGGTCAGCAACAAGATGATCAGCATCTTCGAAGCCTGCACTTTCCAGGATATTACGGGACAACGGATTTCAAAGGTCGTGACGACCCTGAATTATATCGACGAACGCGTCTCGTCCTTTATCGAACATCTGCGTATTCCGGAGGATCTGGATGCGGAACTTCAGGAAAGCGACGAAGAGCGCCGCAAGCGTGAACTGATCCTGCACGGTCCGCAACACGATGGTGAAGGTGTTTCGCAGGATGATATCGATTCAATGCTGATGGGCGCCCAGGCGGATATCGACAAGCTTTTCGACTGAAGAATCTTGATCCCGATTGAACAAGGGTCGCCGCTGGCGGCCCTTTTTGTTTCTACCACCAGAGCCGGGGCAGAGCAGCTCTTGCGCGTAGCCCCTCCTCGATCAGACGTTTGCGGATCAGGTGTTCTTCCGGAGCGTCACTGGGTCCGAAGTCCGAAGCGTGAATTCCGGCGGTAATAAACAGGACGTCGATATCCTGTGAGACCGCTCCGCGGATATCCGTGGGAAGACCGTCGCCAATGGCCAGAACGTCTTCCTTTGAAATCGGTTCACCCGCAAGTGTTTCCAGCCGTTTCATTGCGGCGTGGTAGATTGGTGCGTGCGGCTTGCCGAGAATGGCGACTTCTCCGCCCAGATCTTCGTAGAGCCGGGCCAAGGCTCCTGCACACCAGACCAGCCGGTCACCACGCTCCACCACGATATCCGGATTGGCGCAGATCATGAGCAACTTCCGGTCGGCCAGTTTTTGCAGCCGGTCCCGGTAGTCGTCGGGCGTTTCCCTCTCGTCGTCCACAAGTCCGGTGCAACTGATCGCTTCCGCCTCGTCGTCATTTGTGGTGAAGGTCGCTTCGAGGTCCCAGTAAAGCGGCTGATCCCTGTTGGGCCCCAGATGCAGAAGGGTTTTGTTGCCCTGTTCCTCCAGAATCGCCCGGGTCACATCGCCAGATGTCACGATATCGTCGTAGGCCTCTTCGGGAACACCGAGTTTTGCAAGCATCTCCCCGACCTGTTTGGCCGGGCGTGGTGCGTTCGTGATCAGTACCACCTTGCCGCCGGTCTCTTCCCGATAGGCTCTCAGCGCCTTGTGTGCTTCCTCGAACGCTGCAACCCCGTTGTGAAGCACACCCCAGACATCGCACAGAACCCCCTTGTAGAAAGGAGCAACGGCGCGAAGCCCGTCAATCAGAAGCGGTGCAGAAACGGTCATGTCATTCACTCGGATTGTGCTTGATCTGATAAGCTGGGAAAGAATCGGGACAAACTCGGCGCGGACCATATAGGAACATGACGCAGTGCGAAACCGAGTAAAGGGAGTTTCATGCAGGTCAGGCAACTTGGCGAACAGGTGATCAACCAGATTGCGGCCGGCGAAGTAATCGAGCGGCCCGCCAGTGTCATCAAGGAACTGGTTGAAAATGCCGTTGATGCCGGAGCGCGGAATATCGAGATCGTGACCGCTGCCGGCGGGAAGACGCTCATGCGCGTTGCCGATGACGGCGAAGGCATGCGCCAGAACGACCTGAAACTGGCAATCCGCCGACATTGTACATCCAAGATATCCGACGATGACCTTTTCGATATCCGGACTCTCGGATTTCGCGGAGAGGCCCTGCCATCCATCGGCTCCGTGGCGAGGCTGACGATACAGACCCGTCACAGGGAAGAAGATCATGCCTGGGCGATTGCGGTCGAAGGGGGACGGGAACAGCCGCTGGCACCTGCCGCGCGTGCCGGCGGAACACTGGTTGAAGTCAGAGACCTGTTCTTTGCGACCCCGGCCCGATTGAAGTTTCTGAAATCCGACCGCGCGGAAACCTCTGCGGTCACGGATATCGTCAAACGGATCGCTCTGGCCTATCCGGAAGTCGGTTTCTCGATTTCGGGCGTTGACCGGCAGGCGCAAAGCTGGCCGGCCGCAAGAGGCAATGAACCCGAGCTTGCGAGGATCGCCCAGATACTCGGGCAGGAATTCGTCGAAAACGCGATGGAAATAGATGCGGCGCGGGAAGGGGTTCACCTGACCGGATTTGCCGGTTTGCCGACCCATCATCGCGGCAATGCCCAACATCAGTTCTTTTTTGTCAACGGCAGGCCGGTCAAGGACAAACTGTTGCTGTCCGGACTGCGCGGCGCCTATGCCGATGTGCTGGCAAGAGACCGGCACCCCGTCGTCGTTCTCTTTTTCGACCTGGATCCGGCGCAGGTGGATGTCAATGTGCACCCGGCAAAGGCGGATGTGAGATTTCGCGATTCCCAACTGGTTCGCGGACTGCTCGTCGGGGCCATCAAACAGGCGCTCGTTCAGGCCGGGCACCGGTCGTCTACCTCCAACGCCGCAGTCGCACTCGATGCACTGCGCTCCCATGGACCCGGCTTTCAGACTTCCGCTGCAGGTGCATACACGCCAGGTCAGGGGAATACCGGAAGAAACGCCCAGGCTCAGGCGTATCCTCATGCCCGGCCGCAAGCTGGCGACCGCTGGAATCCGGACGTCTTCCGTCCGCTGGAGGATGACGGAGCGGCGATGGAGGGATTTGCCGAGACAGCCCAGGGGAGTTTCCGGGCTCAGAACGGTTTCGCCGAAATGTCGGTTCCATCCGCTGATGCAAGGGCTCACCAGGAACCAGTCGAAACCGGAAAGACCGAACTGCCTCTTGGTGCTGCACGCGCGCAGGTTCATGAAACCTACATCATTTCACAAACCACGGATGGTGTTGTGATTGTCGATCAGCACGCGGCGCACGAGAGGCTCGTCTATGAAAGGCTGAAGGAGGCGCTGGCGAAGAAAGATGTTGCGCGCCAGATTCTCCTGATCCCGGAAATTGTCGAATTGGCGGAAGAAGATGCGCTCCGCTTGCACGAAAAGGCGGCAGACCTGGAAGAGGTCGGACTCGTGCTGGAGGCATTCGGTCCCGGTGCGATCGCCGTCAGGGAAACTCCAGCATTGCTGGGTGACATGGACATTCAGGGCATGGTCAGAAACCTGGCCGATGAGCTGGCGGAATGGGACACTGCGGACGGCCTGAAGGAAAAACTCGACCATGTAGCCGCAACCATGGCATGTCACGGATCCGTGCGCGCAGGCCGGCGAATGCGTCCGGAAGAAATGGACGCGCTCTTGCGCGACATGGAGGCAACGCCCAAATCAGGCCAGTGCAATCACGGCCGACCGACCTGGGTCGAGCTCAAGCTGACGGACATTGAGAGGCTTTTCGGGCGCAAGTGATCGCGGCAATCTGATCGGCAACAACCCGCCATGCGTAGGAACAACGGCAAATGCAACAAGGAGCGTGTCATGGCCGAGGCTGAAGCCGGCAGTGCAGTGCGAGCGCAGGAAAAACATGCGGGTGCCTGGCCGAAGTTTCGGCGGGGCCTGATCAAACTGGTGATCGCCGCTGCCATCGCATACGCCATGGCAGCAGGATACATGTATGTGAACCAGCGTAGCTTCGTTTTTGTGCCAAGCGGCGAACTGGAAACACCTGCAGACAAGGGACTTGAGACTGTTTCAGCCGAAATCGTCGAAATGGCGGATGGAACAAAGATAACGGTCTGGACCGCGGAGCCGGTGGATCCGGGTACTCCGACTGTTGTCTATTTTCATGGCAATTCGAGCAATCTCTCGGGCCGCTGGAAGCGGTTCAAGCAGATCGTGGACAGCGGATACGGTCTCTATGCACCAACACATCGCGGCTATGCTGGCAGCGAGGGAAGCCCCTCGGAAGCCGCCCTCATTTCCGATGCGCTGGAACACTACGACAGGGCAGCAGCTGCCGGGTCACCGGTCATTGTCCACGGTGAGAGCCTCGGAACCGGACTTGCGGCTGCCGTGGGCGCCGAACGTTCTGATGTAGGACTTGTTGTGCTGGAAGCACCTTATACCGCACTCGTTGACATGGCAGGCGAAAGCTATCCTTGGCTTCCTGTTGAAATGCTGATGAAGGACCCGATGAAAACACGCGAGCGGATCGGGAAAGTCGGTGCGCCGGTGATGATCGTTCACGGAACCGAGGACGCGGTCATTCCGGTCGACCATGGCAAGCGGTTGTTCGAATTCGCATCTGATCCCAAGGAAATCCTGATCATTGAGGGCGCGGGTCACAGCGATTTGTGGAAGACGGGTCTCTGGGATGCCGTCCGGGACAAATGGGCCCGGGAAGGCACCTGAACCACATCTCCGGGCAGTTTAGCCTGGAGCAAGTCGGACAGAGGACACGCTCTGGCCTGGCAAACCTGAAACACGCCGTATCATTGCTGCACCTACCTGTTCAGGTTTTTTTCGGCACTGTTTGTGAAAGGAACAAATCAAAACATGCTGCAGCTAGATCGAGCCTATTCAGCCGTTCTGTTTGACATGGACGGAACGCTTTTGGATTCCCGTGTGGTGATTGAGCGTGTTTTAACGGATTGGGCAATTGCCAATGAA